AAGTGTCACATGATCATCTACTAAATAGTGAATTCAGCATCAACTTCACCAAGATGAAGTTCATATCTTCCTAAGATACGTGTTACTTTATGTCCCTACTAGAATCCGAGCTCAAATGACTCAAACCAACAAAATGTCCAAGCAAAGAATCATGTGCACCATGAGGCTGGGTTATAAGGGTAATTTACAAGTAAAATACCCCATTATAACNCTTCCTAAGATACGTGTTACTTTATGTCCCTACTAGAATCCGAGCTGAAATGACTCAAACCAACAAAATGTCCAAGCAAAGAATCATGTGCACCATGAGCCTCATGGTGCACATGATTCTTTGCTTGGACATTTTGTTGGTTTGAGTCATTTCAGCTCGGATTCTAGTAGGGACATAAAGTAACACGTATCTTAGGAAGATATGAACTTCATCTTGGTGAAGTTGATGCTGAATTCACTATTTAGTAGATAATCATGTGACACTTTATCTTTGCACTACGGTCTGTCTGCTGAGCCTACCTATTATATATATCATGTACAGCGGGTGGGCTTTATACCCCCTCCCCTCCCCCGTGTAGTTCTTCTTCTCTCGTTTTTTTTTGTACTCGCCGTGAAGTGGTTTTGCGGCCTGCCAGTAAACCCAGAGAAGAAGAAGACGAAGTGACGTCAGCGTAATCTTGCCTCAGGGAAAGTACTGCGGTGTGAATGCAATTGGCACTAGCCCCCTGGCGGATTCAGTGCCGTGGTACTTTAGTGCCGGCACTAAAGTACGGCAAGTCCTGCGGTGTGAAAGCGGCTAATGAGTCCAAAACAGTTAAAACCAAGTACAATTATTTGATTTAGTGGTGATCTGTTTGTTTTTTTCTCCGTTCTGAAGCCATAGACAAAACAGTGAAAGAACACCAAGGGTTGTGGATTGACTTACTGCTGATTTACACTGAATATATTGGCATTAAAATGTCAATTATTTGTTGTTTTCTTGTCACAGAGAAAGTAAGATGGTTCCCTTACTGCTGTTACTGCTGCTGCCTCTATCTCTTGCTGACCAAGGTATGAAAGACAGTTTCATTATTCTAGGTTTTATTCACCAAAGAACATTTTGAAATTGGTTTTTAAAAAATGAGTGTTCAGCTATTTTTGTGTTTGTTTTGTATTTATTAAATAGAAAATATTATGGTCATAACGGCCTTCAAATAGCACACAGTTATGGCCGTATGCAGAATCGTATAAATACTAGAGGCCAAAATCAGGCTGCTAGGGGGGGTTCAGAGGCATACCCCCCAAAAAAGGATGGATTTCCCTGCTCTAGAGATGTCCTTTTTATGACATTTGGAAGGGGAAAATTGGATAGCATATACAGCTCGGGAACAAATTAAGAGACAACCCCTTATTTTTCTTCAATCTCTACGTATGGCATTCAATTCCAGTGTCTGTTGAATTCCAACACAGAGAAATGTTGTCAGTAGTTCATAGAATAAAATAATAAAATGTAAATTTTACTCAAACACATACCTATAAATAGTAAAACCAGAGGAACTGATAATGCTGCAGTGGTCCCAGATTCAAAACCATGTCAGTGGACTGCAGCAAAAATGATTTTGGCAATGCATGAGAATCAGGTTTAAAGGTGCAATGAACGTTCCACATTATAATCTAGACATGCAAAGAGACTAACATTTCAGAAAATGAATATTTTTTAAATGTAGTTAATTGGACCATGCCCACAGTGGGCTATGCAGCACAGCAGAATACAACAGAACTGAGCTCAAAGCCACATGATTGTCCTTCTAGTACAATCAAATGTACCTCTTCATCATTTCAATGTACCCTTATCACTAGTCACTCTACAGTGTAAAAAACATGACATTGTTCTTCATAAATTAATTTGAAGCATAGATACATTAGATGGATTCAACTTTTTAGGGATTACATTTGCAAATAAGAAACTAAACTCCCTGTGCTCCAAAGGGTAAGAACAACTAAGATAGGATTTCAGGGGTTTGCAACGTTGTGACGACAACAGTATTACAATAATACGCAACGGTGTAAAGTAAATACATGTATTTACTCAAGTAACATGTTGAGGTACTCTACCATTTTCTGCAACTTTGTACTTCTGCCCCACTGCAATTTAGGGGTAAATATTTGTCTTCATTACATGTATTTATTAAATTCACAATTTACACAGCAGTAAATACAATCATTACATTTAGTTCCACCTTTCCCAGCTATGACAAACACATTAATTTAACAATAAATATGAAATATATTATTCTGGTATGGGCCAATCTGTATACTAAGTACTTTTACTTTTGGTTCTTTAAGTTTATTTTGATGGTTATACTGTTGTACTTGAGTAATATTTTGAACGCAGAACTTTTACTCGCAACAGAGTATACTCTTGTATTTCTACTTTTACTTAAGTAGGAGAATACATCTTCCACCTCTGGTAAACAGTAGGAGAACACTTGCCAAGCCAAATTCAAACCATCCATTTGTTTGGATTGATATTGCCATAAGTGTAAAAAAGGATCTGTCTGGAGCTTTTTTAGATTTTACCCCAAAACAGAATATATACATACATGTAGAAAATTCCAATTTTAAAATTTGGTTGCCTATGTTTTATTTTTCATACAGTAAAACAACCACTTGCGTATTAAAAAATACAAAAAGGCATATCTTAGGTGTTGTCATAAGGAGCAGGAAGATAAAGTGAGTTTCTTGTGTTTTCAGTTTGTCTCAACATTTCAAATGGACGCATGAACGTTCACATGACGGATGCTCATGTTGAGGATGGGCGGGATTCAGTGAACTGCACATACAATAATTCTGCCTGCATCTTCCTCTGCGAGTTCCGGAACAATATGTGTTTTAATGGATCATCTTTTTGTTTCGATGCGGCAGTGACAAACAAGACAGATCCTCCC